AGGTTGTCGCCCAATAATCAAGCACTGCACATATTTCAGCATGTGACAAGGCCAAGGTAACCTGTTTCCAGTACAAGAGAACATGCGAGTCCCAGGAAGTAATTGGGAAGAAGGTGCGATCGCTGGGACAAAGCATTTATTCGCCTGACGTTTCGAAGTCCGTCACGGATTCTTCATCAGAGACATTAACATAAACAGTTGCAGAAACGGGTAATTCATACACAAGGATTTGCAGTATTTATAGGATACAGTCACTAAAATACTGCTCACTTATGACAATTGACGACGCCCCTGCCAAGGATAACTGCCAACTTCTGCGCTAATTGCTTGAAGATTGGCGTTATTTCTTTGCAGTGCTGCCCCATGAAACCAGAAAAACCCAATGCCACGGCAAGAAACATCTGGAGTCGTCTATACGAAAATCTGCGGTTGTGGACAAAGCAATCACGTCGGAGAAACTGGAAGACTTCTTAATACGCAAATTGCCGTACACACGGCAGTATTGCGAAGAAATGACGCCAATTCTCAAGTTGCGGCCCATTCGATGAGACCCGGCCACGCATTCAAATTTGATGGGGCCGAAATTCTTGCGAGAGGGGACAATCGTGTGAGTCGCGAAGTACTTGAGTCACGGTTCAAGGAGCCTCATTTCATAAACAAGTGCAACGACCTGCCAACTCCATATTCAGTACTGAGGCTCAATTTGGCGAAAGCAAGTCGCCACTTTGGGAACGCACAGGCCAACGCGTCATCCAACGCCAACACCGGGGAACCAATGACTACGTAATCATCACGTCCACTTCCATCAGGTTTGCTGACTATTCAGCAGGTCACGGCCCGCACGCCGAGCGTCAAGCAATTAGCGCACAAACGGGCAATTATCCTTTGTAGGGGAGTCGTTAATTGTTAAGTGTTCACTGTTGTAGACTGTATCCTAAAAATAGTGCAAAGCCCTGTGCATGAATTACCCGTTTCTGCTACTGTTTATGTTTGTCTGATGAAGGATCCGAGATGGATTTCGAAACTTCAGACGAATAAGTCTTGTCCAAACGATCGATTCTTCTCGTTCTTGTTCTTCTCCTCGGTAGCCTGTTTGTAATACTGGGCGGAAGGAAAGTTTCCGGTTGCGTTAAAAGAACGCTGCAACGACACCAGTTGGCTTTGCTGAGCAAACACGAATTCTACGGCAATATGTTGGAGGTAGATTGTGAAAAGTAGCGAGTTATAAGCGCATCTCTTCCAATTTCAGACTAATCAGCAAATCAGGTAAGGTGAAGCAGGGCGATATAGGTCCTCAATTCTGGTTGAAACATATGGCGGTGCCTGACACGTCTCGTCTTCTACTGTCAATTGGCAAGACGCAGCGTGCTTTCAATAAGAATTTATATCTCTCAACCGCCAAACATAATTGTCCTTATCACTAAGCCTGTGTTCATGACAGATGCGCACTATTAAATTATAGGCCTAACAAGTTCCATGAGTGAGCCAACGACGCAACTTGACATGCACCCTGCTGCACTCGGCGCAACTTGAGCGTTGCAATCTTTCACATTAATTAATTTGACGTTTTCAGAGCTTAAAAAGTAGGAAAATGAGGCCACCATACGTGTACAGGACGTTGCCATCTATTTTACAAAGTAAAATATCCCAAGGGAATTTTAAGTTTTTTGCGAGGCATTGCAGATTAAAACAAAGTCATTTACTTTCGGAATCTAGTTTACTGTAGACGGGATGGAGTTATTTAGATTTCGTGCTTACTTTAAAAAAATCTAAAATCGCTTTTAGAGGTTAGAAGTTGGAAAACCGGAGGAACTTTATCATTCTGAATGAAAACACTTTGATAGAAACACTGAACCTAGACCACCATACGTTGTTCGCCAGCTCACAGGCCACTCAAGTATAGCAAGCATAAATAAACCGCAATTACCAACCGTACTTTGGCAGAGTTGATGACTATTTTAGGAAACTCAGTTGTCCCCTTTTGACTGGAACTAAGTCATAAAAACTCACAAATATCCTACGGTAAGGACGTTAGGAAATGGTACAAATGGAATTACCATTTTTTTCATTCTCTCTCTCTCTCCATCTTACGAGCTCAAAATAAGTTTGGTGAAATTTTGTTGAGAATATTGAATTTGTATCCTACAATATTTTCCTATGAAGAACACAACCGTACGCGCTCACGAGCATAGAAG